TCCTCTAGGTTTCTTGCCATGCTGCGGACGCAAGCTTCAGACGAAGAAGTGAATGATGTGTGCTCCCGGCGCCTACTTATACTATAGTCGTGCCGGTAGTGACGTCATGGCTGTCGCCGGCCAACGAGTTGGTGTTTTTTCAATGTATGCTTCAGACACGGGTCACGACGAGGCGTTCCCCATAGCGACCCCTAGAGGACGCAGTGTCTCGTTCCCTACTCAGGGAACCATGGTTACATAAGTAACCCGAGACAATTTTCAGTATCATTCCTCCAGTCTTCAGTGTCACATGATCCTTCAGAAATCATTCTAATTTGCTGCTCAAGAAACTTTTCTTATTACATTTTTCATTTTTTCTTTGATAAATAGAAAATTTAAAAGAAAAGCATTTATTTGAAAAAGAAATCTTTTGTAACATTAAAAATCTCTTTGTTGTCTTTTGATCAATTGAATGCATCCTTGCAGAATAAAAGTATACATTTCTTTAAAATAAAATCATCTTACTGACCCCAAAAATGTATATGGTAGTGTATCTATCTCAACAATGACTATAAAGTACTTTGGTATCACTATGTTTTTTTTGGATATGGTATCACTATAATGCCATGTTTTTTTTGAACATGTACCATTAATACCATAATATTCTTTGAAATAGCCTGGGGTATCATGTAAATACTGTGATAAATGAAAATAGTAATCATTCAGTACCATGATATATATATCAAAAGTACCATGGTAGAGAACTAGCTTTTGATACCTTCACTGTACCAAGGCCATAACTCATTACTTCTTGTATGGGACAGTAAAAACTGTAGTGCACATCCTGATAAATCCCTTAGCACCTTCACATAGAGGAATATTTGGGGTTGAGCCGTGACTTAGTCTCTTTACTCACATGGCTAACAATGGTAATTGTTATTTAGTGTACAGTAAACTATCACAGAAAAGTGATTGTTATCTAGTGTACAGTAAACTAGAGTTTTGCAGCACGACTAGCATTATGTGGGTGTAATCTCACACATTCATGTTTAAACCCACGTGAGGCTTATGAATCTGTGCCACTGCATGTCTGCTTTTACCTGAGCTGACCTCTTTCTTAATATCATTCCATTACTCTGTGTGTGTGTGTGTGTGTGTGTGTGTGTGTTCAACAGCACAGTAATTGCTCTGGCTTAATGGACAGGCTGTATTGTGTGTGTTCAGTTATGTCTGAATGTGTCGTATATAAATACAAAGTTGGGAACAATCGGCTTGTTGTTCCAGCATGTACTGTCTTACTGTGACCTACAGTATGTGAACACTTATATTAAATACTGTGTAGGAGTAAAAAAATACCTGGTTTGAGCATGTTGGTTAATGCTGATAAAACTGCATAATGCACAATAAGATATTTAATTAATCTCAAGCTCTTAGCATCCATTTGCGATCTATCAGTTTGTTTGTAACTTGTAAAGCACTGTGATTGCACACAGGTGTGAAGAGTGATACACAGCGGTCTCGCTTATTTGAATCACTTATAAGCCAACTGGGAAGAAGAAAAAAATTCAGCTAAACACAATCAATTATGTTGGACAGACTGGCACATTCCTTCCCTTCTAATGAGGAACTGTCAAACCTGACATAAAACGGCTGTAAAATTGACGCTTGCATCTGCTATGTGGGCTATGTGGGAGGTGGGAAGGGACAGATGAGATGTGAAGACAAGAAATTCGAAACAAAATGATTCACTAAAATGCATCAGACTCCCAGTGACACTTTTAAAGGGACAGTTCACACAAAAATGTAAATTCTGTCATTGTTTACTCATCCTCATGCCATTCTAAACCTGTATAACAGTAAATGATGATAACTTAACCCAGATTTCATTTTTGGGTGAACTATCCTTTTAAGTATATTATATAAAATATAAAAGCATCTCACTTCTTGATACTTGCACCAGTTCTGTTACACTGAAGACGCCTGAAGTTATGAAGCTATCTTGAAACTCTGGAGCATCTGTTAAACAAAAGAAAACATGGAATAAATGATGGAACTTTCCAACACAAGGATATCACCAGCATCTCACGCACAAAGAAATTCAATTTAGTTTTCATTTCAAGTCACTTTGGATAAAAGCATCTACTAAATGAATGAATGTCGAAGTTTTACATAAGCACAGGCTGTTCAGCCAGTACACATGGCATAAAGTGAATTACGGACAACAGAATGTTTCAGATTCAATGTTTTACTCGTTAGCTAAAGTGTCTTTTGAATTACCTTCATCTGTTTTTTTATCTGAAAATATTAATATGTGCAATTAATACAGAAATTCAGAAAGCATAAAAAAAATCAAGGCTTGATTTATTTGATCAAAAGTACAGTAAAAATAGTAATTTTGTGAAATATTACAATTTAAAATAACGGTTTTATATTTTAATATATATTTGAAATGTAATTTATTCCTGTGATGGCAAAGCTGTATTTTCAGCAGCCATTACTCCAGTCTTCAGGGTCACTCGCTCCTTCAGAAATCATAATATGCTGATTGTAGAGAGAAACAGCATTTATTTGAAACAGAAATCTTTTGTAATACTGTGAAAGTCTTTACTGTCACTTTTTATCAAATCTTGATCATTTTTGCTTAATACAAATATTTGTTTCTTTCAAATAAAAATATCTTACTGACTTATCTTACTTATCACAATCGCATTACAATAACCACAAATTTAATCAGTATGTAATATTGTATATATTGTAACAAAACAAAAATTGTAAAGCGATTGACAAACCTATTTTAAACAGTTGCCAATAGACACAGTAAAGTAACTCGGCCATCCCATCAGTCCCATAATAATACCACAGCATTATGAGCAGGACTGAATATGTGAACAAAACCACTGTCCTGATCGTACCTATCTTGTGTTTCCCCAAACTGAGCTAGAGTTTTATCCACACGTAATGCATAATTAAGTGCTGGCCTTTCAGACTAGCTCTGTTGAAACAGGGGAATGTGGGTAGGAGTATGACATGAACTGGGCAAAGAAATAGAGATAGGTTGAGTGTGTGGGTATGGGTTTTAAGCCGTGCATATAGGTTGCGTTGTATAAACAGGATGTTTGTATAGTGCAGGAGAGGACGCTTACAGGACTGCACCACTCTGTATGCTGCAGCACACAGTACATGCATGTATATTGCAAGTATTCCTGTACATGTGGTTGTGTGAATGTGTGTGTACATGTGCTCTCTTACCCAAGGTGGCTGCTCGACTGTCCTCTTGATCTGAACCAATGCCTGTGCGAGGACTACTGCTCTGTTCAGCCTCTGAGAAAGAAAAAGAGAGGCATTAGTCCTCAACTCAGCAGATTCTCTTAACAGATATATATATTATATATACATTTTTTTTTAGTTATTATTATTATTTTATATCATTGCCAGTGTACCAAAGTGATAATTTCAGATTTTGTCATTCGATAATGAATCGATAATAAATCATGAATCAGTTAGTCTTGACTGGCAGCGCTTTGCAAATCGGCTCACATCTGTTCCATCAAATGGTTTCGAATGGTTTAGAGTAACCAAATCGAGAACACCCCATTATTATCATAAGTCAGAATACTGTACGCTAGAGGACATCGCTATTATCTACAGTAAAGTTACATTAATAAATTTAGCAGACAGATATTCACAATGATTTATAGCAGCCCTTCTCAAAGTCCGAACTCCGGTCCGGACCCGCCTCCACTTCGTATTTCAAGTGCACTCGTATCAGACCTCCATGGCACACACATACGCAGACACATACACACACACACACACACACAGGGGAGCACGAACCAGTGTTGCAGTGTTTACAGACTTTTTTGAAAGACAAAGCGCATAGCAACTAGCGACATTTTGGATAAATAGCTTTCATTCAGTAGAATAATGTCACTGGTTTCGCCCCGCGAGTGCAAGGCTTTTCTCGACCAGCAGAGTTAGCAGCACATTCAACTGACCGAACCGCAACAGAGTTGTTTCCAAAAACCTATCACTGTTGACTGTCTGGGCATATGAACATGAATGTAGTTCGTCAGTAAATATGCCATAGACTGTATAAAAACATGGACGTAGTATCCGTGACGTCACCCGTAGGTTTCTGAAGAGAGTTTTTGAAGCTCAAAGTGGGCGGAGCCGGCCATCGACCCTCTTGGCAGCGCGTAACTCCCAGAAGGTTGCTGCTTGAAATATGCACATATTTTATTACACAGACGGACGTTTGTGCTGCATGATATATAAAATAAAGTAATATAATTCACTGCTGTATAACAGCGTATTGCAGTTATAATTCAAGATTTTAGCTATTTAGTTGAAGTGACTGCAGGTTACATTTAAGTACTATTTCAGAAACAGAAAATTTGTAAATGAGAACTGCTTTATTGGGCATTTAGTTGTATAAAAATGCAGTACTGTATGCAACAGTTCAGAGAGTAAATGCAAGCACGACCTGATGATGTCATGAATATGATAATTAAGTATTATAAAGCTGAATTGTTATATAAAGTTAAAAGCATGTTTATTAAAAACATGTTTTGTAATAAAAATTATTTTGAACCTTTTGACGTTGATGAGAACTCAGATTCTGACCTTTGAATGTAAACTTTGAGAATCCCTGATTTATAGTTTAGGTAGGGAGGGAGCTAGAGCAGACAGCAACACAGAAATATGAGTCATAGCCTAATAATAAAATAGTGCGTTCAGTATTAGAATTTTTCAATAAAGCCATTGTACTAATTTTGTCATTTAGGCACTTTAAAAAAATTTGTATTAATATATTTGTATAAAAAATAGTTTTTAAGATAAATAACATTCTGTGCAAACAAAGTACAATGAGGTGATTGCTTTGCAACAAGATGGACACAGTCCTGTTCATAACAGTAGAGCTGCTAGTGAAGAAGTGACAAGTACAAGAAAAAAATGCACACACAAAGTACACAAGAAAGAGACAGAGATATTGGGGAAATGAAGAAAAGGGAAGTGAAGGTGCAGTTCAGGAGAGAACCTTTAATTGCTTAACATGGTCCCAGTCTAAAGATTTAGACCTTTCTATGTGATTGCCGTACAAATAATAGGGTTGTATGTGATTTCAGAATATTCTGTGGGTGTTTGGCCTGGATGAGTGTGAGATTTCCCAGCCTGAAATTGTGTCCCAGTTCGGCCCTGGTACATGTTATTTTCACAGAAAATAAACTGTAAATCTGAAAATAATATTTTGAAAAAGAAAAAAAACCTACAACAACACTGCATTATTTGAGAACTAATGACTTGGAAATTTCCAATAAATACATTTTTTATGTTCCTGCTTAAGCATTAAAAAAGAAAAATATGAATATTAAAAAAATATATAAACATAATAAAAAAAAAACAAATTTTCCCATCATTTAAAAAAAACTGAAAATGTAAATAAAATAAAATTTTTTATGTTCCTGCTTAAGCATTAAAAAAGAAAAATATGAATATTAAAAAAATATATAAACATAATAAAAAAAAACAAATTTTCCCATCATTTAAAAAAAACTGAAAATGTAAATAAAATAAATATACTTACATACAATAAAACTATAAATATAAACATTATAAACAGTGGTGTAGTGCAGTGTATACTGCATATTCCTACTTCTTTACCAGTCAGCATTGCCCACTTCTAAATCTCCTCTAATGCGCACCATTCAGTAGTGTCCTGCATTAACCAAAATCATGACAGTCCAGCACATGAGTAGTTAATCCAATCGCATGTGAATACATGCAAATATTCCCTAAAAACACCCAGTAAAGACAGTGATGCGGTCAGGACAGAGGCGTAAACACTCTCATGCAGTGTTTCATTCATACGGGAAGCCAGAGGGCGCTCTCGCACAGAAAGTCCAAAACTGACTCAAAAAAGTAATAACTTATGACATGCCAGGAAATCCCTAATATGGAAAAAGGAATCCAGCTATCCTAGCCAAAGCAATCTATGCTGTAGCTATGGTGAATAAGAAAAGAAACGTTTTGACTGATGATACATGAAGACAATAAACACACGATTGCGTCTCCAGGTAATAAAAAATATCTGAATAATGCAGTGCTAATTGACATTACATATTACAGTTGGTTATAGAAACTATAAAATATATCTTCTGCCTTATTCTGTGATAAACAGCATACATTAAGAGTATACCCAATTCTCAAGGCACCACTACACCACTGATTATAAAAAATATAATTTTTTTCAGCTGGATAAAAATAAATGATAAAATTCTGGGATCTTTTTACAGGGCAAGTGAAAATCTGAATTACTGGAACAATACACCAGCAGAATATGAATATAAAACATACAAATAATCGATAATAAGCATTAGAATGATTACTCAGATTCTTTACTATAGAAACTATTAAATATATCTTCTGCCTTATTCTGTGATAAACAGCATACATTAAGAGTATACCCAATTCTCAAGGCACCACTACACCACTGATTATAAAAAATATAATTTTTTTCAGCTGGATAAAAATAAATGATAAAATTCTGGGATCTTTTTACAGGGCAAGTGAAAATCTGAATTACTGGAACAATTAAACCAGCAGAATATGAATATAAAACATACAAATAATCGATAATAAGCATTAGAATGATTACTCAGATTCTTTACATGGTACATATTTATAAATGGCAATCATGAGCAAATTGCAGCAGCATTACGGTTATTTTTGAGCAATGTTGCTGGGCAATGTTGCTATCAACAGGCAACCAGGTGAGACACAGGACCCACGACCGAACTAAAGTATCCAGATTTGTTGCCTATTCTCAATGGGAAGGTGCCCGAGTAACATTGCTCAAAAAAGTTGCCCCGTGTATCATCACCTTTAGAACTCGAGTCCAAGAGTCTGAGTCTTTCCCAAATACAAGTGTATGTTCAGTGAACAGAAACCTCTGACCTGTTAGCGTGTGGTTGATCATGTCAGTGATAGCTCTGGTAATCCGACATAAGAACATGTTTCTGTATAAACAACAGAAAGCGAACAGTCTGTATGTTTTATACAAATCACTCAAAGGTTACTGATACAGCCATGCGTTCTGATATCCTGACGAGCTGAGGCTCAGCCAAATGGCTCATAAGCCTCGTAAATGAGAAACACACCGTATCAAAGTGCTGCAAAATATTCTCTTTCTTTTCAACTTGTTTGGCAAGGCTGAACATAATCTTGTTGAACCCTCTTCACTGGCAGAGCACAGGGATTGTATTGCCAAAGTGTAAACTCATTGAAGCAACAATAATGACAAAACAACCTAATCCAACCATAAAACCTTCTCATTTGTGTGCGTTCCAGCTCTTTGCCACACAGATGTGAGGGAAAACACAGATAAACACATAAAACGAATTTGAGTCAAGCAGCGGCAGAGGATTTTCTGAATAGGGAATGAAAGAATAGAGGGGTTACCGCAAGGACTCTGGCAGGCGTTCAAAGAAAAGCCAGTAAAAAAGCTCAAGCTGGATAAATAAATAAGAAAGCTCCCTATCAGATGGGCCTCACGCCACTGCCAGTTCAAAGCTGAGAAGAGTCCGACCGGCTGCACACGTCTGAATGCAACGCTTCATTACGATTCTCACACTCTTTGTGGCCTGCAGGACTCAGAGGCCGACCGCAAACTACTGCTCAAGACACATGAAAACACACAAGCAGTGGCAACTCAATTGCGATGCCAGTGCAAATTTCTCATATCTATTTTAATACAATAAAAGTAAAAGTGAATTCCAGATTGCAACTCGTTTTTCTTCTTATTTCCAAGTAAAACAGGATATTCAGAAAAACAAAATGTAAGGTAGGTTTTGATCATGAAAAGTGGGCGTTGTGAAGCCAAAGTGGTTTTGCTAAACTGGTTAACATTACCCAACAGCCCAAATGGCCTTAGTGATGTAACCAGAAGCAAAGCCATTTCATAATAATTAAAGATCACAAAGTACTTTTTACCTTTGAAATAAAACTTACCCCTGAATAAACCACAATAAGACAAGGAATGTGCATTAAGAAAAAAATATGGTCAATTTGGATTTTATGTTAACTTTAACATCACAACTAGTCTTCAATCCGCCCGCTTGCATAATGATGCCAGTGCAATTTTTCCCTGCCATGAAATATGAAATGTTTTCTTAAAATATATGTGCAAAGTGCAGCCTAATTATGTTGTTGCAAGTAAAACACACATGGTCGGGGAAAAAAAAGAAATATAAAACCCTACAAATCTTCAAAAGTTCCATGACATTCCAAAGGAAGCGGTTGGACCCGAGCCATAATACTCAATG